GATGGATCTGGACACCACAATCATTTTTTGTAGATCAGGTGACATCACTGATACACTCTCTGGACTGTTTGTACCTTCTCTAATAATCATATAATTATTCAGGTTAGAAAAGACCCTTAAGATCACCAAGTCCAACTATCCACCTAACTACCAAGTCTCCCACTAAGCAGAAGGGCAATTTCCATGTCCATGCAGACATGGACTGATCTGCATGCTATTGCCACTGATCTGGTGGGATACTCAGGGTTTAGACCACGTTAGGAACTTGACCAAATGTACCACTTCACTTCCCTTGAAGTGAATTGTTTGAACTCTAACAATAGCTATGAGCTCTCGGAAATTTTGCCTGTGTTTCATCAGAAATGGCTTGAGTCTACATGTCCTCCAACCAGTACTCTAAGTCATCCAATCGCAAGAAATTTTGAACACTTCCAATTTTGAACATTTTGAATTCCTAAGGAAAAAAAAAAAAAAAAAAAAAAAGCCAATAACTATAAATTCCATTTCAGCTGAAGAATTGTGTAATTTCCCCAAAATCTTGGAAGCAGGGACTTATCTACGCAACACCCTGGGTGCGTCAATAATTTGAAAGACCCCTGCCAGTTACGGCAAAGCTGAAAATTTCAGAGGAAGTTAGTCACTTGGAGTGAGTAAATGACTTTTGATGTGTACAGTCTAAGGTCCAGTACGTTTTACCTTTTAAGTACCTAGTGACCACGGCTTAGTCTGAGGTGACAAGGAGCAGAAGATGGCCATCGGTTTCAAAAATTCAGGCGTGGGCATCTCAAACCGGCTTCATGGAAACAGATGTTTCTAAAATCCTGTTTGAAAATCTGGAACTCTTCATACAGGAAAATTGAATGGTCAGCACATAGGACTTGAAGCTATTCCCACTAAATCCAACCAGAATTTCACAGTGATATAAATTTCTTTTTTAAGGCTGGATGCTCATCTGGGTTGGGCCAGCAGGAGTTTGCACTATCTGGGGATCTACTACTTGACCATTAGCCATTGCCTCTTTCCACTCTGACACAAATTTTTCCTGGAAGCACAAGGGGATTAACTACCTTGGGGTTTCTAAGGATCGGAGCTGACTGAAATTCCTCATAGCACTGAGTTGTATGGGAATTCAGCAAACCTCTCTTCTCAGGCAGCAGATCCCTCATCTCAAGAAATCTTTTGATTAATCTGTCAAGCTCTGGGACGTGCAGCAAAAGAGAACAACAGGGCTTGAAGGAACATTTAAAGAAATATTTTTTGTAATTCCCAGCACAGCCAGAATGATGACACACTCTGAGTCTAGCAAACTTGCCTGGCAGGCAGTTTGGGCTTTATATGTAAATATAAACATATATTTACATATTTCCTAACATCTGTTTTGAATTTGTTTTCCCTTTGGTTCTATTTAAAGTACGTCTTGTCCTATTATCTCTGAGGCTAAAATTTGGAGGGGTCTGCTAATAAACTCTATCACTGCAAAGCAACAAGGCACACTCTCCATCCTCCCTAGCTTTCCAGCCAGTTCCTTCACAGCTGTTTCCCACTTGTATTTCAAAGTGCGACAGCATCTCCCAGCCTATGAAAGGAGCACAATTTCCTAAGTAGATTCCTGCTGGGTAGGGTATAGTATCACCACCACTTCCAAGAGTTCACCTTCAGTTGGTCTAACCCATTTGTCCCAGCAGCCCAGCACCTAAATTTCTCCTCCACATGGTGTCTTTTTCAGAAAGTGTCATGCTATTAGCTCAAGGTCCAGAGCTGGAGCCACTGCTGCAGAACAAGGTCGTGCCTTGGGCCATTCAGCCACCAGCCTGCAAAGCAGAGCCAGTGCCAGGACCAGGGTAAGTGCTGCAAAAGCACCTCACAAGTAAAATTCAACCCACTGTACTGAGAGGGTGCTATGCAGTCTGTGGAGGGAAAGTGAACAAAAAGCAAACAAGTTCTGAACAAAGTGAGAGACTGATAGGCATTATTTGTCTTAAATAAATCGGATGGGGTGAATGGGGAAAGGGCAAAAAGAATAATCAAGGCTGGCTGACACCAACGTTTCCACACTGGTCTCTGACAGCTTCAGGGCTGGGTGTGCTTTGTGAGAGGTGGTGTTCACTGTCAAAAGACCCTGAGTATGAGCCAGTAGTGGAGTTGCTTTGAGGAATGAACAAGTAGTGCAATATCCTGACCTGCCAGTGTGCCTATGGCCAACAACCACAGCTGATTTTCTTATTTTGTTGGCAGTCACCTATCTAATCCTTTGGTGGCCCTGGGCCTGGTGCGCTTCTCAGTGTGAACTGTAAGCCCAGCACATAGGTAGGGCGTGAGGAGCCTTCTGGACATACATAAAATTGCCTTGTAAAATGCTTTTCCAAGGAATGATTAAGCATTGGTGCCAATACATAAGATGTCCTTAAAAGAGCAGGGTTCTGTATCGCCAGATGATGTGCAAATCAAAGGTTTTTCTGCACTGATGAAATTCCAGGAAACACGGGGTGGGGGAGAAGGGCTGTAGAGAGATAGCCAGAAACAAGATGCTCAGATCGTCTATCCAAAAAAGTTACTTCTTCAGCCAAATTACTAAGTCCTTTATGGGAAAGATGTCTTGGTTTGGCAAGGAAGAGGAGGCAGCTCCACCAGACAATAATAATAATAATAATAATAAAAAAAAGCCCTAGTCAAATACTAAATAGCATTATTCCAAGGGAAACATGACTTGTTCTCTGTTGAGTTAACTTTCAGCTGAAACTCTGAAACCAGCAACCCTGGAACAGGAACCGGAGCCTGGGCTGATGCTAGCAAATGCTTAAGTTTCTATTGGCTCAGTAAATGCATTTCTGCAGAATCATCTTCAGAAGCATCTCATTTTAATGAGATGTGAAACACCAAGATAAACTCCCGGCTAAACTGATAAGCTTCTCATATACACTACATTTACATGAGTACTGGCCTTCTCCCTCCATTGGACTGGTTATGACTTACCCTGTAGCTATAACCCAGGCTCTGGTGTTGCAAAGTTTATAATTACACATACTTCTGGCATCACTAGCAAATTTACCTGCTAAAATACTTGTCTGTGATAATTGACAGTGCCATCCCTTTGCCTCAGTGTCGTGTCTTATTTTCTCAGTCCCTGAAGTTTCTAAATGGAGACCAGAGCTCGGCTGTGGGCACCACCTCAAAGGCTGTGACAGCACTGGAGGGGAGATGCCCCCTCTGCACCAGTGATTTTGGGGCTGGTGAGCTCTGAGGAGCAGTGTCAGGCTGTCCCATGAATGTCTGGGCTGGCCTCTGAGGACTTCGGTAAATGCACCATGGGTGTGAGAGGGACCCCTGCACTGCCACGCTATGCACATGCATATGCTTTGCAGAATCAGAAACCAAGATTGCAGACTTTTAGGAAGGGTTATGAAGTTACTGTCTATGGCTCCTATGAAAAAAAAATGACACACTACTGCTTTGTCACTCAACTACGCAGCTGCCAAGGCTCCAGTCTTGCTTCCTTGCTCCAGTCTTGCCCAATCCATAAAACTTCAACAATTCCTGAGAAACACTGGAATCCCCACGGCACAGACCGGGTCTAGCTACAGACTGTAACTTTGACGAAGGTGTCTCACCGTACACTTATTTCCTTTAATAAATAGGACAATTAGACACCCACCTCCCCACCACACCCCAGAAGTGTGCAAACACATACATAATTTCTTCTCAGTACTTGCCACATGCACACACCATAACCAGCCATCCAGATTTATTTTTTTCTAAAAGTCCTTATTTTTAAAAGAAAACAAATGGTTTGCCCTCAACTTCATTTTTTTTTCCTAGTGTGCTAAAATAAGAAGTTTCATGATTGCTATTGCAGAAGAGACTTACATTACATTTTCCACCATCCAGCACCCACACAGTTAGACCTTATTCGTCTCAGGTACAAGAACACACTTGCTGACTTTGGATATGTACCTTTCACTTTCTGACTCAATTAGCATATGGCAGCTAATCATTCTCTCTGTAAGGTATCAACAGCTTATTTGCCTTTCTGCATCATTGGGTTTTTCTGTTAATTCCCACTGGTTGTTAAGTGGTGATGATAAATAAATCTAGCACCTACAGCCACGACTTTTTGCTTTAAAAAGCTCGAGAGAAAATGAATTTGAAAAATTAAAGTCTCTTTTGCATGAGATCCAAACTCTGGTTCCTAATCCAAACCTCCCGTAATTTAAAAAGCAGAGGAATACACACCACAGGTATCTTGGCTGGCTGCATCAAGGGTGCAGTTTAATGGTGTCTTGCTCGGAGCCAACTTCAAGACAGTGCCAACCATTTCCTTTATTTTAACAAGACACCAGCACACACAGCGTACCTAACACCCAGTTTCCCTTATGACAACGACCTGCTTTCCAAGAAAAACAATCTCAAGACTTTTGGTTATCAAGGGCACTCCAAAAAAATGAAAACTGACTCCTTTTTGCCTCTTTTTGCCAGCTGACTCCTCTGACTGCTCAAAGCCACCTGACTGAAACCACTCCATATTCGACAACAGGACATGGCCACCAGCCTTTTGCCGAAACAACCCTTAAATTACACCACAGGGACATTAAAACTGGAAATAAACTGTCCTCCTCACCAGAGAGGGGAAAGGACCGTGACCATGTGTCTCTGGGCTACAAATAAGTTGTGCTGTGTCTCAAAAGCCGGCCTGCTCTGTCTCACCTGCAGCACAGACCTTCTTATCTTCCAGCAGAGAAAGCCCAGTCAGCTGTTATTCTCCACCAAACATTTACAGAGCTGAAAGCTTTGGGCATTTTGTGGTGCCAATTTGTTCATAGCAGGGGAGTCTCTGTGGCCACCCACAGTATACTGAAATGCACAAGCCAGCCAAGAAGCTCTGCATAAACAACTTGGTACAATGCGCTGTGATGCTGCTGTATTTCTGCATGACAAGTTCATTACCATTTGGCCTTGGCTGATGCTGATGTACAGTGAAAAAGAAAGAGAAAGACTCTTCACAGTTACATTAATTCCATTTTATTTAATAAAAAACAGTATCAGATTAAAAATACAAACACTTTGGGTGATTATCCAGCGTTTTCCCCTGTGTGCCTCGTAGAGCTCAAACCAACCAAGGATTGGGAGAAAAAACAAAAACAAAACAAAACAAAACACCAAACAATTTTGGCCGGAGCTGTAAAATAATGTTGCACCAATTAAATTACACCAAATATATTATTATACCTTTGAAATGGCTTTCAGACCAATAAATAAAAAAAAGACAAATTCAAATAAAAAAGTCAACTTTGTATTACAAAAAAATTAAATAAAAATCACAACACTAATAATAACAATGTGCAGTCAAGTTTTTTTTTCTTCTCCTCTAGGAATGATAACATGCCAGTAAACATGTAACATGCCAGTAACATGCCAGTAAATCCCTACGAAACATTTCCAGTTTGGCAGCAAGCAGTCACTCACTCATTCACATTTGTACACAAGGACGCAGGCCTGGGCAAAAGCCTAGGTAGATACGAGCCTTCAGGGTGCTCCTCAGTTCCCTGCCACAGCTGGTTGAGTTCCCTTCCCTTCATCGTAAAACCTCTATAAATCCACTCAAGATTTAGCACCAGATCCACAGGGAAGGTGTCAATCGGTGTAACCCCACCGAAGGGATGCTGCATCACATCAACAGGATGGTGCTGAGTTACACCAGCTGAGGATCTGGCTCTTCTGCCCCAGGGCACAAGTTAAAAGCTGCGGCTGTAAAGTTTCTGAAAGGCCGTGGAGACTACGTTGGGTTGTTTTCAAACACATCACAGTAAACCTGTTAATTAAATAAACTGCAAAATTGGGTGTTAGTTTTGGATGGGCTAAAGGAGCAAATGCAGGACCTGTGAGAAGGCAGGACATCTGAGCATCACACCAAACGTGTCATACAGGTCTGTAGAGAAATGCCCTGAAATTGCCCTTCCTGAGCAAATGAGCAGTGAGCCAAATTTCACTTGACTGCCTGAGAGCACATCTCTCATACATTTTGTGGGTATTGATGCTGTTGACTCCAGGGCCAAATTTGGTCCAGTGTTTCACGAGAAGAAAAGGTTCTCCACAGAGACAGATTAACTGGCTTAGGAAATTTGAGCTCATTCATCTTTATACAAGGCATAAAACCTTGTTGGTTTTTAGGAGGAACTGGCAGACTGAAGTACCGTGACGCACCAAATAAACAATTTGCAAGTGAAATTGCTCCCTGCCCCAGATGCCAACTGTTTGTGGGGTTACCCCTGAATTCCCAGAGGAACACTTTTCCATTTCTGCATTATTTCTAGGATTTTGGACACAGCGGGACAAAGTCTGTTTTCAGTTCCAGTTCCAGGGGAGGAGTGAGAACAGAGTTTGTGCCATGCTTCTCTCTTCTGGATATGTCTGCACACACGGATTTTGCAGCTGTGGCTCATTTGACATCATAGGCTGAAACCTACCATTTATTCACACCAGTGCACCTCTAAGATAGCCAGGGGCTATGTGGTCACATAAATGTGACTGAAACGGGCCTTAAGATTCCAGTTTGCCCAGGCCTGTCAAACACACAGTGCCTTTCTGACAGAGGCTTACATTCAGGTAATCCAGTAGACCCATGTGATACCTTTATGGGAGTTGAAGCCTTTAGTCTGGATATTCAGGTATGTCTGAGAACACACACCCATATCCTTCCCGTTTTTTCAAGCTGGCGTCGTTGCACACGCAGTACCAGCTACACTATCTACATAGAGGCCTGCATTTTTATGCTAAATGTTATCAAATCTACTATTATCATTTCATTGCTCAATTCTTTTTGCTCCATTACTACCTACTTAGAAACATTTTCATTTGGAGAAAGGCATATTCCCACCAACTTTCTGACCTCTATCCATTTCCTACATGCTACAACCTTTTCTTTACTTAACATTCTGCTCACAAACTACCTGTCACCCTCAGATACTACAAGCTAATAGCAAGGTGGCACCATTTGCTGACACTGACTGAACTCTTGGAGGGTCTGTTAGCCCTTGGAACCCTTTGTTAGATCCATCTACCTATGGGCATCCATCTGGCCGGCCTTTTTAAAAAAGTAAAACTGAGTACATGGGTTGAAATGTTTTGAAGAATCATGTAGCTGCTTACAACATCCACTTCTTCCAGTTTCTGTTCTCATTTCTCTGACTCTGCTTTTGCTGGTAGTTGGAAAAAAAAAAAATAGGGCCTTCTGCTCACTGAAGAGCAATGGCTATGGGAAGGGCCAGATCTGAATGCCTGCTCCATGCAAGGTTATTCTGGGCTAACACTCTCGAATTATTTGTCCCAGAAAGGGTTCAGACACCTCCTCAGATCACCCTGGCAGAAGGAACCATGGTGACCATCCAGCCTGATCTCCTGCACAATGCAAACCGAAGATCCCCAACACGTAATGCCTGTATCCAGATGAATAATTTCAGGGGAAAGTAAAGCTTCTCTTTCTAAAAGACATCAACAATTGACTTGAAAAATTCAGCTCATCTCTTGATATAGCTAATCTAATATTAATTAGAAACCTCTCAAAATGTGTGTGCCTCACTTCCAGTTTTAATTCTGTCTAACTTTCACTTCAAGCCATTAAATCTCGATGCTTTTGTCTGCTAGATCCTGATACATTTTCATCACATATTCAAAGACCAAAGGATTTTCTGTGGTCAGGTGGGTAATATTTTGAGGACACAGAATTAGAGAAGTGTGAGATGACTTTGGGGCTACTTTAGACTTTGCTAGGAGTTCAGCTAAGTAGGTACAGTCAAGTCTTTTGAAGGAAAACCTACCATCATCAGCAAATCAGTAACCTGGCTTACTTCACCATAAAGGTACACAGAACAACTCCCTCCCCTCCCTTTCCATCTCCCGTCTGCTAGTTGAGCTTGTTGCAGATCTCTAGGGCTTTCTTGTAGACCTGAGTCACATCATCCATGTCTGTGAGAAGGGAAAAACTGCTGTCCCCCAGACGGTTACGATACCGTTTTAGGTACTGTGGCCGTGGGCAGTTCTGAAGTCCTTCGAAGTCTTGGATCTGGAGGAAATTTTCAGCAGAGACACAGCTCCGTATCCTCTGTCTGTTTGGCCTGTTCTCTTGCAAGTCCAGCAAATCAAAGGAGTCACTGGACAAAATACTGTCATCACTAATCACGCTGGAAGGGCGACTGTAACTTCGAGGTAATGCATCCCCAGGGCAGGACCACTTCTTCCATGGCCTCCAATGTTGGTGTATCAGGGCTAATTAAAGCAGATTCAGTGCTGCTGGTAGAATACTTGCTGTTATGTTTCAAGATACCCTTACGCCTGCAGGAATGACTGTAAGACCCATTTCTGGATGGCTCTGTGACCCCTGGAGAAGTGTCACTGTTTACTGTTTCATCATTATTGTCCAAGAGTTCAGAAGATTCACTTCGTTCCGGAGAGGAGTAATAGCCAGATTCTCTCTGCTGAGTCTTCTTTAGGATTCCTTTTTTTGGCATTAGTGAAGACTGCTTAGTGCCATACTTGGCTACTACCTCTCCCTCCACAACACTTTTAATGGCTACGCCAGTCCTACACAACTCTTGCTCCAGCTTAAAAGCAGAGGGTAACACTGGGCTGACCACACCTTCAATGAACCCTGCGCTGTGAGATCGATGTTCACTGTTGCTCCTTTTCTTCAGGATGCCTTTGGGTCTCTTGGAGGTGGGTTTGGATGCATTTTCAGCTCCTCCTTCCTGGATGGACTGTGCAATGTCATTTTCCTTTTTTGATTTTTTCAGAGACCTTTGTCTCTCTAGTGTGACTTCAGGACCTTTGGGCTTAGAAAGGCACTTCATTTTGGTTTCAGTCTCTGGTTGGAGGCCAGTAGAACGGTGATGCCAATCAATGAACCTTGCCAGCAATGGGGACTCAGAGTCCCTCATGGCATCACAGTCACAAACACTACTCTTGTAGCCCCAGTTAACCCACCAGTGGTTGGCAATATCTTCAATGGTTGCTCGGCGTTCAGGGTTCACCATCAGCATCCATCTGATAAGACCGCGAGCATCTATGGACAAAGAATAAAATATAAAGGTTAAAATATTGGCACTCTTGGTTTCCTCAGTTTAAAACTGAAGCCTGAAGCTAATCAAAAGCACAAAAATAATGGTTCTTACAACTGGAGATGTGAAAGGGGGCAAGGCTTTGGCCATCAGTCAATGCTGGAAAATGAATTTGAGGACTACTTTCTATCAACAGAGCATGATACACCCAGGGTGAATTGGTACATTTGTTTATCAAATAAATTAAGATTTGTGTTGTATTGGTCAATGAATAGTTCCATATTACTGAAAGAAATCACCAATCTTTCATAGAATCATAGAATCTTTAAGGTTGGAAAGGACCTCCCAGATCATCTGGTCCAACCATCCCCCAACCACAAGTATCACCCACTAAACCACATCCCTAAGCACCACGTCCAACCATTCCTTGAACACCCCCAGGGATGGTGACTCCACCACGTCCCTGTTCTAATGTTGTCTACTCTAATAATTACAAAACTTGGAGGAAAACAAAGGGGAATTGGGATATTTTAAATGCTCTATATATGACTGCTTTTAGGTTTACTTTTTTTTCATAAAAAGTGTAGTATTCTGTATATTTTAAATGATTCTTTTTATAAAGAAAGTGACAAGGCAGCAGAAAATTGAATGGATGGCAAACAAATGATGAGAGATGAATATTTAGCTAAATATAATAATATATACACATATACATATTTTTAAGGCTGTAAAGAGCTATTATGTCAATGACCCAGACTTGATGCTTTTCTGTCAAGTGACAGCTTAATGTGTTATCCTCTAAGAAGAAATAAATGTAAACACAGTGGCATTTAATTCAGATTTTGGCCTAGCTTCTCAGATAATAGGCTGCTTTGCCCTGACCATTCACCCTCTCTCTGCTCATGATATACTACAGTGTAGTCAGAGGGCTGGTCTTTACCAGTATGTTGTATCAGTTTACAGCTTGTCTGAACAATTCCACTTGCAATAGCTAACAGACCTTCTTCCACTGCCATAGATCTAGTTAAAAGAGCTTGCTGAAGTTTCCCCAAGGCAATAAAATCTATCTGCTATAAAACTTTCATTTCAAAAGGGCTTTTGGTAAATGCTGTACCCAGATGGGAATTGAGAGCAGATGAAGTCAGTAGGGGAATGAGAGATTTTTTTTCTGTGTCAGTTCTAACATGACACCAAAATATTCCAAAAGGCACGGGGCAAATCTTCCATTCTGAACTCCTGTCAGCTCAATACATTGCCCTCACTCCTTTTTTATACCTGAGGTCTGTGTTGGCTCACGATATTCTCCACTGCTGATTTGCCTGATGAGATTTTTGTGATCAAAGCCATCAAAGGGCATCGTTCCATAAACCAGAGTGTAAAGCAATACACCAAGGGCCCAGCTGTCAACCTGCAATACAGAGACAATGAGTGTGAAGCCCAGGAAAGCTGATCCCCACCATTCTCCCTGCCGTGTCCAGATGCACCTACCAATGGGCAAACCAGAATCTAACATCTAAATAACCACAGGTAAAGCAAACAAAGGCAGCTCGAGAACTTTCAATATGGGAGAAACTGACTCACACATACATGAACAATAACTCTACTATTAAGACTAACCCACAAGGCCGGTATCATCAAGGACATCCCAGTACCACCACAGAAAAACTGACCCTTCTTACCTCTGGGCCTCTGTAAGGTCGTCCATTAACTATTTCAGGGGAAGCATACAGTGGGCTTCCACAAAAGGTCTGCAGAAACTTGTCTTTGTGATAGAGGTTGGAGAGTCCAAAGTCAGCAATCTGCAAAGACAATTGCACAAGGCTTCTGTAACATTAACAATATCTCAAAGTAACAGAAAATCCTTTTTTGAGAAGGACTACGCTATACTTGACCCTGCTGCAGGGCAGGGCTCTCAGCGTGGATAACCTCTCAAGTTCACTTGCCAACCCATTATTCTATGATTTCATGGCTTTTTTAGAAGGCTTCCTAGAGAAGGAGAAGGGTCCCCAAGTTAAATCCTCCAGACTAGGAACAAGGATGTTTTGATTCCATTCGCAGACAGGTCACTGCCAAGTACAACCATCAATTAGTGATTTTTTGCTAGATGAACTGCATGTGCTTACAAAGAGAATTTCATACCGGGAGGCACTGGACTATTGTCCACTGATTACTCTTCATCTTGTATAATCATTAATACCAAGGGAATGCAAACAGAATGTACTACTGTTCTTATATTGCACATGCAAGCCCAAAGCCAAGACCTTTCAAAACAAGAGGAGGAGTGAGGCAGGTGTGTCATAGGAAACTAAGTGTAAGATTACAAAAGCAAGTGATTCTTGAAATCATGTGGAACATAGCTCTGCTTGAAAAGAGGGGAAAGTGAGGCAGACAATAACTGTTACGCATCCAGGGACTCCAAGCTGAGGAATCTGAGTCGTTAAGCAAACTGAGATGTCTATCATGAGATAATAAACACAAGTCTGGTTCCTAACTGGAAACAATGGGCCCAAATCTGGCTTTCCCAACACAAACAAAACTCCCCTTGAGACCGTTGGGAATCTTGCCCATGTAGGAATTGCAGGATCAGGTCCAAATAATTTGTTTACTTCAATTCCCTGTTCTTGTTCAAAACAAAAGCTGAGGATAGCAACACTAAATACTCCCACAACCTTTGCATTTCCTTTGTTTCTTTAGCAGAAGGCAACACATCTCATTTTTTATCTTGTTTGAAACCTAAATGTTTCTGTTTCCTAGAGATATTTTTATGACTGCCCACTACTGACATAGGACATACATAAAAGACATAAAGCACAGACATAAAAAAGGTATTATCAGTTTATAGATTTAAGAGACAGGGGCTTTCTCTGGGTTTTTCTCACCTTATTCATGTCTTTTCTACCAGAAAGAAATTAAACCCCAGAAAGAAGCAGTGATTACTTGATATTATAAGAAAAAATTCAAGATAAGACAAAGTGAACAGAAAAGAAAGGGAATTTACCAGCAGCAGCAATCACTCTTGACTTTCTAAAATGTGTATCACTATTGCTGCTAATACCTGTTTAACTCCAATGTCTAGCAAACTCTTGGGAAACATAAAGAATTTGTCTCTATTAACTATCAAAACTAGGCTAAAAAATGTTATAGTTGAGACTGAAGTAAGAAAGCTGGTGAAGTACAGACAGAAATTCCCAATTTTCTTTCCTTACCATGAAAAAAAATATTTATGGATAAAGTGAATATATAAATATCCATAAATACCTATCTATCTATATATACACAGATATACTTTGATGTTAAAAATATAAACTTCTATTTTAAAATATCATTTTCACCATTTTTTTAAAGTCACAGAGCAAATATGAAATTTCATACTTCCCCCTCTCCTGTTTTGATGTTCAGTGTTTGCAGGTATTCCGCTGACAATTTGGGTTCACAATGTCTTGCTCAAAGAGCAGCCGATTCCTGTTCATTAATATTAATTCATTCCACCACGTCCATTCATGGCTTGAATTTGCTCAGTCCCCCAAACAGCGTATCATCAACCCACAGCAGAAAATTCAGCCCTTAAATAAACGTGGTTTGTAAAATCATCATTGTATGGCTGGAATGTCATTGAAAACAGCTGGTGTACAATTGCAGTCTGCAAACATATTCTCATGGCTCAGATTGCACTTAATTGCTCTGAATTCCACTTTCTTATCAAGTCACCCTGACTGGCTTGCAGGAAGTTGGTTTTAAGCCCTGTGAAGTGTGCCCTGTCAATCATGGGAAGAATGGGATCATTTCAGCACTGAAACTTCGTGCTGGTCACTGAGTTTTATTTTAGTTCAGGATGCAGCTAAGACAGGGACAGACACTGCACAGTGTGATTCCTTAAGAAAATACATTCCCTTAACACCATGGAATGTATAAAATGCATGTAGATGTGCATGAATATATATAGGGCTACACATACCATTGTTCACACTAAGAAACTCTCAGACCGGGCATTTATGTTTTCATTTTGACCATTCAGGAAAAGAGTATTTATGTTACAGTCCACTCCCATACTCACAGACTGATGTTTATCAGCTTTTCCCATTAAAACTGTCATGCCCCCCCAAAACAAGATTAATAGAAGCCAACATTACTTCATGTTCTTGGCACTTAAATGGAACTAAGGCATCAAGTCAAAAAACTTCCTAAATTGGGAGGAGCTGGGAAGTGGGCTTTATTCCCCTCACTTCAGGAGGTGAATGTTTCGTATTTACTGTTACTCTGATCAACCAGATGTAATTTATTGTTTAAGCGTCGACTATAAATTCCATGAGGTTTGCACTTGTGGAAACTGTCGGTTTTGCCCCACTTAAGAATCTGTCTTTTTGTGCTGTAGACAGAAAAATAATTAAGTCTCTTAGAGCAATTGAAATGCATGTGCACCGGGTGAGACTTCCAGCAAGGTAAATCCCAATTACATACACTTACCCTGCACATACGAAACCCTCATGGGTTCTCGGTGGTTAGTCTGATTGGTGTCCCCTTACCAGCCCAGGAGAAAGTGTAGTTAGTGGGATTATGTTACTATTATACTTGCATTTTTGTCTCCTTCTATCACTTTGGGGCTGATCATGCAGCTTGCGTCAAGCTCTGCTAGACATCTATTTTAGGTGCAATTCCCAGTCCAGGAGCCGCCGCAGCCCTGCTGTGAGCAAGGAGGCTCTCTCCGTCGCGCCAGGCAGCGTGTCAGAGGCATCCCTGGGGGTAGCTTGTGGCACAGGACAGGGACACAGCATTTGGATAGCAAGAAGCACTAATTCCCTGGCTGTCGCACTGTGCAGCAGTTTCTCTGAAGCTTGCTGCATGCGGTTTGGGGGATTTAGGCACTGGGGAAGCACTGCAGTGCTGCACGGGGTGCATGTGGTCCTCATCATGCCGTTTGCAGGAGCTACGGGCTAATGGGGGCAACTACACCCTCACCCCCCTGCTAGTTCTTCTAGCAAAGTCATCCCTAGAGTGAACCAAACACTAGGAACTCAGTCCCCTTAAGACTAACAGAGAAAAGAAAGGATTCAAGGCTTTTTTTTTCAAGACCACAAAGGGCAGATGCCTAAAGCTGGTGTGAACCTCTTCCACTCAGAGCTCTCTAATTCACCAGCTGAAGGCAGCTCTTGCAGTGCTCTGGGGCTGCCTTAGCCCTGCTACCTGTCTAACCCTGCCCACCCCAGCTGCGTTAGGATTATGAAGGAAGATATCCTCTCCAGAGTATGAAAGTGCCCCAGTTGGGTGTACATCTGGCGAGAAAGGCAAGATAGCATTTGATGAATTGGCTGGATTAAATCCTTGTACCCCACAGATCTGGGTGCATGTTCAGTCTTGTAAGTGCTTAAAACTCATTTCATTTATTTGTGTTTGCTGCATTTAGCGGTTTTAAGTAATAGTTTGCAGAAAATACTACCACATATACCAAGACACTGAAAAACATAACTACATGACACTGATCAGATCACTTTCTTCCCCTCATTGCCCTCCAGCTCTGGCCTGTAGACCTACAGGACTCTCCAAAACTTGTAATTTTTTGTCAGCTTTCAGACACCGGTGTTTCCTAGTGCTGTACTTCAACACAATTGTTTCCAGAGACTTCTACTCACTACTTTAACTTAAGAAAAAAAGCTAATTATGTTTCCAAACACCGTTTCATGACCTTCATTTCTATAGCTAAAATTTACAAATGGTTTCCATGTTACTGTAGTATCATGTAAAATGGCTTGGGGCCCTTTTAGGCTGGATAATAACTTCTGATGGATTAATTGTCCTCTTTATTTCCTGTCCTGGAATTACTGCTTGAGTTGTGCTACACGGATCTATTTTTACCATATCTTATTAATTTTGTCCTCACGTTACTATGACATGTTTGTGTATATACCGCAGCGTCTAGATCATTGGATTCTTCAGAAACATGTTTTCAATCGCACATTGCACCCAGGAACAAAGGGATTCCTTTCATTTTGTCTTTCTTAAAATCAGACTGCCAATTTTGTAAGTGCCTTGTAATCCGCTGAATGAAATGTAAATAGTGACGGAGTACAGATAAGACTATCACTCCATTTCTAGAAAATGTCTTCCACTCAGTACTTGAAGCCATCAGTCAATACCATCCCCCAAACTGCATATTTCTCTTTTTCCACCTGAATAACCAGATATAAGAATAAACTATATACATAATTTCAGAATCAGGACCTGATAGATTTGCTCCCAATAAATAATTTACAGCTCCATATGTGTTTCCTTGCCAACGGTTACTGTTTAGTGAAACAAAGAAAAAGTGGGAAGTAAAATCCTGTGCAACTAACACAGAAACCACAGTAATGCATTCAAGGCTTCAGGATCAAGGAAATAGCAGCAGTACATTTAACATCAAGTATTCAAAGCTGAGCTTAGTCGTGAGGTAGGAAAGGTGTAAAAGAGATGGAAGGGAGAAAAAGGTGAACTACAAAAAAAAAAAGAGTTGCCTCTTGAAGTAACCCTCATTCAAACACTATTGATAGTGATATGCATAAAATACAAACTGCTTCCCCAGCTCATTTTATTTATTAGCTTCATGAGACTTTGTGGATACTGTTAGCAGTGAACAGCTAGAGAGCCTGAAGCCACCCATCCACGCGAGGCAGCCTTGTCCACTGAGCTGTGCTCTGAAGTCCTCAGAGAAGTAACCTGGAGAAAGGCTGGAACTATACAAAACACCCACATAGCAGCTCAAACACCATTTAGTTCAGAGAAGGGCAGCCTTCATGGAAAAGGTGAGTCCAAACGGTTGGACCTGAATTTCTTGGCACAGCAGTGCCCGTCTCTGTGGCAGCTGAAACACATCTGTGGTTCTGCAGCCCCTGGGTCCCCATACTCCCCCTCGCCCCCGCAGGAAGATCAGGCTTTCAGAAAGAAGACAGGGGAGGCTGCTGAGCCTTCTGACAAAGCGCAGCTCCCCAGAGGCTCGGGGAAGTGATTGGTTTTGCATATGAAGACTACAGTGCCGAGATCCAGGCCACCGCAGCTAGCAAATTCCCCAAATTCCTCTTTTCTCTCAAGAATTCCCTGATTAGCTGGGAAGATAGCTTGGTGCGTAATGTGGAAAGAAAGGTCATCCTGCCTGCGGAAGCCTGTTCCGTATACAATGTCCTAGAAAGGCGACTTTTTGTTTTCAGCGCTGCTGAGACCATCTGGGGCTGCCGCAGGGAGCGGCGCTGCGGGAACAGAAGCGGAGAGGTTCGCCCTGACACGGGATGTTAACAGCAAAATGTCCAAGCGCTGCATAGGATGGGCCTTCTGTAAAAGCCTATTTTTAGAAACCGCATATTTATGTGTCTTTAATCCACCAGTTGATCCAAGTTAGCTTCTGTCATCAATGCTACACAGATGGTGGCTACCATATGCTACTTTCCATTTCCATTGCACAGCAGCTTAAAATGAAGACAATCTCTCCAGCGCAAGCAGGAGGCAGTGCGTGCAGCCTCAGGACTTTCAGCAGAGAAAAAGCGAAAATCCAGACTATTTAGTTGGCTATGCAGACAGCTCCTTGATTGTTTTCCTTTGTTAATTAAGCAAGGATGCCCAGGAGTCAGCAGAAACGCTTTGGCGTCCTTGCCTCTGTCTGTGTGTCTGCAGATCAGTGAACCCAGCTAGCCAGGCAGGAACAAAGCTGAAAGTGAAACAGGTTCAGCCACCTGAAATCTTCGCTAATCCCTGCATTATTTGTCTTTGTGTTGCAGCTTTTAGCAAAAATGGAAGAAGAAGGGAAAAAAGGTCATTCCCATGCTTTCACTGGGGAGCAATGACATGGAAGTGACATCACTGACATCACTATCCAAAGTATACGTTTGTGTCTGGAGTTCCAAGGCCACTTCCTAATGAAGCACATGTGCTTTACTAGGTTTATTTTGAAACTCTATTTGCTTATTTTCCAGCCATGATCAAAAGGACATTCAGAGTGTTCTGTAGGAGGCACTTGAACCCTGTAGACCAGGAGGTTGTTTTTTTCTCTAGCCCCAGCAGCAGTCAGCAATAATACCATTTGTAAAATAAACTAATTTGCACAAAACGTGCTGCTGTTTCCACCAGTAAATAGATGCTGCTTGGAGAATCGTGGTCTTTGGGTGGAAGGACAGGGCCTCCTCCCCCAAATTTTGCACAGTTTCAGTTAGCGTGTCTGACTCATCACCAATGGTGCTCTTTCCCCAACCTCCAAACCCCTGAGCCTCTTGCCAGATGCTGTTGCTTAGTAGCTGTTGCCATAACACTGGATCTTCTAATACCTTGGATAAAAATGTTACAAAACATGCAAATCCATTCTGAGAAGATGAGAGAAAGAATCCTACCTTAATATTAAAATTGTCATCAAGAAGGATGTTTTCCAGTTTTAGGTCCCTGTGGACAACTCCGTTCTGAAATAAGGAAGGAAGAAACAGAATATAAGAAAATATTGGGCAAATCAAAGGTGAGCTGGCAGGGTGGTCTTTGCATCTGCATTTCAGGGCTGATTTCACTGTCATAACACTCACGGCCCAGTGACTAGTGACAGGCGATGTATTAGTCACTTGGTGTGTGGTTAAGGGAAGAATGACTGGAATCTGTCCTCCCACAAAGCCCGTAAAACAGCAGGAGGGGGGGGGGGTCTTTTTAGAACTTAATTCCAGCCCGGATCCTGCCCCCACTGCATGAAAGCAATATATTCTTCCCAGGCACCAGAAAACAATATCTGTCAATGACGTTAGTCCTTACAAAAGCCCTCCTTCCTCCAGTGTGCAGCCGTGTGGATCAGGGGAGTTAAAATCCTAAAAGACTGTAAGTGTTAGGGATGAAAACGAACAAGCTGGGTTTAGGTCAGAGACTTCTTTGAAGAAATTTGGGAAAAATTAACTGCACCAAAAAGGCCACTGCAGCTTTTCAGTGCTTCACAGTGAGGACTTTGAGAATCTGCCTTGTTTATCAGAATTCAAATGGAGATTAAAATGTTCAAGAATTCAAATAAAAGACTGTGTTAGCTGCTCGTTGCCTTTAGCCTCATGCAAGTTTTGGCTGTATGCAGCAGGGATAAAAGTCCATGACAGCCAGTCAGTTACTTTGGGTTTAATTGCTTACATTGTTATTCTACTGGGTACCATGATGGATAAAGTCGTTAGCAAAGGGTATCTTTCTGGTGCTTCTCCTACATCTGGAAAAGTTATTTCTAACTAGTGAGTACATGCTAAAGCTGAACACTCATAGCTTTCTCCAGACTATTTTGCTTTCATATATTTTATATACTTTATAAAGTTCTTCATTTGCACATTGAAATTGTGAATTGTCATTAATTTGCACATATTAATATTAAAGTACTAGAATGTCTATGTAATGCCTTTTCTAGCTAATGTAGTTAATTGGTTTTTTATGTCACGAGAACTACTTCCACAGGAAAAATGGGATGTAGGGCTAATGTAAGAGTGTGGCTGGTAGTATGCCATAACACAGGAAAACACCCTTAGTCTTTAAAAACAGGCAGAGAACTACTGTAGCACTTTCACTCTTCTGGTGTACTGATATAATCACATGCTGTCATACTTAATAATGAATGCTGTTGCCACAGACGTGCTTTGAAATATAATCACTACTCAGCCTTCAAATAGCATTTTTTAATATCAAATCCTTTGCTCACCTTGTGGCAGTAATGTACAGCAGAGACTATTTGTCGGAAGAAATGTCTTGTCTCTCTTTCGCTCAGCCGCCGCCTCTCACTGATGTAATCATACAACTCTCCTTTACTTGCATACTCCATGATGATCACAATCTTATCTTTATTTTCAAACACTGCACAGGATAAAAGAAAAAAACAAAAACACAGTTGATCCAATACCTTTTAAAAACACTTTAAAGGTTGAAGAAGACTTAGGATGACTGAACGTATCCTGTGTCATCACTGCAGCCTGCAGACAGACAATCCCAAAACCTAAATTCAAAGCTAATTTTTTCCCTAGAAAGGTGACAATGTTTCAGATGAAGAGAAGGAAGTTAAGGCTTTGAGGAGCTGTTGCCTTTCACACAGCTAGATGAAAGAAGGTCTTTGCCAATACAACACAGAGCCACAGCGGCAAAGCCAACTTTATCCTGGTGAGGTGAGGTGGACACTTGTGCCAATGACACCTGAATTACACCTGGCTCCAACAGGGACTGCCTCTTATCTGTAGTCCTTTTGGGGCCAGGTGACGGAATCAGGAGCTATCACACCATTTGGAAAGGGTTAATAAAAGTGATAATAGACTCTACCTTCAATGACTGCCTGATACAGAATAACAATTTGGCTTATAATGACTGTTGGTTCACTTGCCACCAAAACCCAACAAACGCACTGATGCAGGCATCCTCTTCTAGCCCAGCTCTGTGCAGCAGCATGCAGGGCACAGACACCTGAGCTAGCAGTGGCTGCAGGGTCTCCAGAGCCGTACAGCTCTTCTCAGCGTGGCTCTGCAATCCATCTCATGCACACACCTCATCCTGGTGCTCACTTACGTCCAGCCCCTGCCGCAGGTCCCACTGCATGCTGTAGATCTGTCCTTTGCCACTTGCGCAGAGCCGGCAGCGATGCGCAGCTCCCACGTAAGCGGTGCAAGGAACATTGATCTTATACACGTCACAGCGTGCCTGTTCTTTGGGGCTCAGGGTACTTCATGCCACGTGCTGTCAAGGACTTCACTGGACTTGCAGATAACTAAACACTTAATCTAGTACAGCTGGCCATGAGAAGTCTCAAATTGCCATAATGCTCTGGCTGCTAAACAGTTTTTCCCTTCTGACACCAAAAATCCTCCACAAGCCACTGCAAACATCCTGCACCTGCCATAAATAACCACTGCTCATGTTAAAACGTGGTGACTTTCCTTCTGTTTTATTCTGTGGCAGCAGCACGCTGAAGCCATGTCACACTGGCAGCAAAACATCTTCAAATTAATGAGGTTACAGAGGTTATTACAAACGGATGCTAGTTCTGACCAGCCCTACTGGAACAATCCTTCCTGTATCTCTTTAGCAAAGCCCTGCCAGTAGTCCTTAGGGTTTAAAAACAAAACAAAACAAAACGAAAAACACCTCAGGTTTTGCAGTGAATTGTAAAGCTGCCTCTCTCAATGCGTAGACATTTGCTGCTCTTCAATTTTGTCTCATGTCCTCCAACACCTTGTCATTCAACTCCGCAAGCCAAAGCCTCTGCAGCTCCCTCTAACACCCCTGAACCCCAGCCAAACAGCTCTGATAAAAGGGAGAGTGAACAGCCAGATAAAATTGGCCGCTCACTCGTCTGCTGGCCTTGCTGTACCCCGAAGCAGAGGCTCCTGCCAGTGATTACATCCTATGTGCATCCTCATTAACAATAAACTTCAGAAACTGGAAGAGCTGTCTCTGGATGGATTATGCTTACAGTATCCTCTCCAAGAATGACAGACTGATATTGTCTGGGAAAAACTGAACATACCCTGTGTCATAAACGGAAGTGCTGTGATGTGTTACCACTGATGCACAGACTCACTGCTCTGAGCTTGGAAAGGGTTTTTAAAAACAGGGATTTAAAAAGGGTTTTAAAAACGTAGGAAAGCGAAAAGTAGTCTCAGTAAGCTGAGACAAATCACTGAAAATGCTTTTATTCAAGAAATTTGATTTTAAAAAAACAAAACAAAACAAAACAAAACACGATCAAACAGCTGGTTCAATGAGTTAGGAGTTATTATATGATGCATGCATAAGGCGAACTAGCCACATAGCAGCATGGATCTCAGCGGACTCTTACAGGAGTGCACACTCTAACAATACCAGCTGAGGAGCATCCTGAGCTCTAGGGGCTGTTTGCCTCACCAGAGGGACACAGCCAGAGAACGGGCTCTCGGCTCTTCAGTCTTCATGACTGTAGCTGAATGGTTAGAGAATTGCACAGTAATTTATCTCTTCCACTGTTAATAGAGGTGAATGGAGAATCATTTTATTTTTTTTTTTCAGGGAGGTGGGAGGAATTTTCTTTAAAAACTGCTTCATTTCAGTTTAGAGCACCTCCATCATATTAGCTGAATCTCACGAGAAGGTGTACAGCTACTTTCCTGCAGAAAGGGAACTGAACAGTGTACAAAAATGCCTTAACTGAGAGCTCCCACCGAAGGTTCAGGGAGTGGAAAGGCAGTAGGATTTATGTCTATACACACTCAAACACACTTATAAAGGAATTCAGTGGTCAAAACAATCAGGCACGTGACAAGGTGGTATTCTGGCAATTCTCAGCCCATCAGACATGTACACCATGATTTTCACAGCAGCAGTTAGGATGCCAGGCAGGCTTCATCCAGACACTTCTAAATTTCCCTTCTGAGCACAGTGTGCAGTTTTATAAACATACACTCCAAGAAAGCATTGTGGCCAACGTCTGGGGGAAGAGAGGAGGGCATTAATTAAAGGCTGGATTGACTTACTGCAAATAATAATGAGGTAATAAATATACTGCCCTGTTAACACCTGGGTTGTAACCTGCAGGCTGATGACGGACAGATTGCCTCCATACAGCTTCTGGGACGGCTTGGTTCGCTCTTTGTTTTCGTTGCGGATGATTTATTATCTGCCACTCTACTGCATATTCATTCCGAAACTCGCCCCCGCCTCGAAGCGTGCCTGAACCCTGCTGCAGCTACTGCTGGTGGAGGAGCATGGCTCCGGCAGGGTCCCCTGCTCCACGAAGGCCCCGCCGCCCGTGGCCGACGCGTCGGCCATGTCACGCAGGCCGGCCTTCAGCTGCTCCGCAGCCCCGACCAAGGTCAAGGGAAGGAGGGGGGTTGTGTATGAGAAAGGTGGGGTCGCTCCTGCTTCTTTCCAAGCACCGATACTCTGCAAACAGAGCTGGTTAAATAAGATAAGTGCCGGTATCAGCACCCAGACAGGTGGTAGCAGCAGAGATGGCCCGTCAATCACGTACTGAGAGACGGGAGTTGCTTAGATACCAGGCATGAGCTCCACACATTAGAGGAGAAAGCAGCAGGAAAAACACTTGCTACAAGCTGTGCGTCATTTACTTTTGAGCCACTGTGGTTCTTTCTACCACTCCACAAGCCGAGATACACAGAGAGGGCTGCAGCAAGGCTTCGGTGCGGCGGGAGGGCTGCTGCACCACCTCTGCTGTAGCTGTCAAGTGATGCTGGGTATGATACAAGGGCTGCGATATGACAGTCCCTGAGATGAGCAAGAGTACTGCCTTCATGCACAGAGAAACAGCATTTTCCAGTAAGCTACGAGCCTGCTTGTGCTTGCTCTGTCCAGCCCTAGGAGCCTTGGCAGGGGCTAAGAGCAGTGCTCCGCACAAGCAGCAAAGGGTCCTTAAGTTGCAGTGGTCAAGGAAAGATTTCTTACAGCTTTTCTTTAAATCCCTCCCGTAACTCTGTGTTTGTTTATTTATTTAAAAAAGAAGAAAAAAAAAAAAAGACAAAATTTCTATACTTCTCAGCTGATAATTGAAACCAAATCTGTTGGCTTCAGAGCTCATTGAAGAACAGAAATGTGAAACTGGGAAAGAACTTCACTTCTCACTACCAAAGACATATCTGAGACAGAGTACATTTTGTAACGTCAACAATCTGTCTCTTTCACAGGCTGTTCTACTATAGTAATAATTCTTGGATATAATCTCTCCACTTATTTATATTTAGAGGCCATGAAATGATGAACTCAGCTTCTATCTACAGCTTTCCATCTTCCAAATAGCACTAGGAAGGGAGCTCTTGCTGATCAGCGCATTTTCTTTCTTTTCTTTTCTTTTCTTTTCTTTTCTTTTCTTTTCTTTTCTTTTCTTTTCTTTTCTTTTCTTTTCTTTTCTTTTCTTTTCTTTTCTTTTCTTTTCTTTTCTTTCTTTTCTTTCTTTCTTTTCTTTTCTTTTCTTTTTTCTTTTCTTTTCTTTTCTTTTCTTTCTCTTCTCGTCTTGTCTTTTTTCTTTTCCTTTCTTTTCCTTTCTTTTCCTTTCTTTTCCTTTCTTTTCCTTTCTTTTCCTTTCCCTTTCCCTTTCCCTTTCCCTTTCCCTTTCCCTTTCCCTTTCCCTTTCCCTTTCCCTTTCCCTTTCCCTTTCCCTTTCCCTTTCCCTTTCCCTTTCCCTTTCCCTTTCCCTTTCCCTTTCCATCTTCTTCATCCCTACTGCTGAAAGGCAGTAGGAAAAAGCTACACAGGAAAGAGCCACACAGGCATCACCTCTGCTGAAACTGCCCAGGACAAGTTTGGCACTGGATGAACATACTCGCTATCCAGCTTACATGCTCCCGGAGATGGACTTTACCGCCAAAGTGCTGAAAGCCCACACAGACATGGTTTTGAAAACATCAGTCAGAAAGATTTTGTACTACATTGGACATCTCTTCACTACAGCAGTTCACTTATTTGGACTTATTTACTACAAAATTTAAATAGCAAAACAAAGCAGAAAGCTTTTGCTCTTTCCGCAAGCTTACAGGATGCTCGAGTCAGAGCGAGTGCCGAGGGGGTTGGATTTTTTTCCCCCTTAATGGACTACCTCCTCGCGGGCTGATTCCATTTGGTTTACATGTAACCCTGGGGTAAGGATTTTAGTTTGTTAGTTTAAGAGGGGCGGCCAATCTCTTCGCACTGGAACCATTTGAATTCTCCTCATGCCTTTGCTCTCTATCAGAGCAATCTCCTAAATTAGTTCCAGTATGTTGACATTCCTTCCATCTGGTGTCTTTCCATTCAGCGGTATTTTTATTACTCTCCTAACAGCCGCAGACAGAAGTACCTTTCCACTGCTACAAAATGCTCTTTTATTAAAGGTCAGCCAAATC